TCGCTACGCTCACTCACCTTTTGGTTTGAAATTAGCTGTTTATTTATTTATTTATTTATTTATTCACGGTAACACCATTTATACAATAGTAGTTAGCATAATCAATTACAAGATGGTATAATTAACAACGACACTACATTACTAATGCAATTGAACTTGAAAAAACTTTGGGTAAGTATGATATTCAATGAAAACAACAGACAATAATAACAGGCAATGCAGACAACAACAACAAAAAAAACAATCAATTGGACACTCACATTGTTGTTGTTGGTTTTTTTTGTTTATATTTGCTGTTGTCAAATATAAAAAAAAATTATAGTGCTGCACTCTGTTGGTAATCCTTGTAACTTTAATGCTATTGAACATCATAGAACAGAACCAACTTGTTTAATTGAAACAGCTGTTATTCATTAATTCCATTTAAATATGAGTACTCATTAGGTTAACATGGGAAACTCCAGAGCCACTGGGGCGGAGCCCGAGAGTCCGATCAGAATAAAAACTACTTAGTTTTCCTATTTAATGCCTAAAGAATCAGTGTACCAAATTTCAGCCTCCTAGGTTAGTGGGAAGTGGGAGAATTAGTGATGAGTGAGTGAGTCAGTCAGTCAGTCAGTCAGTGAGGGCTTTGCCTTTTATATATATAGATGCTTCCATAGCATTAATTCATTAATTACGGTGTGGTATTTTGGGAGTAGTCCTTTGGCGGAGCATAGTAAGAAAACAATTGCGAGAGAACCTTGCTTATCACATTGTACACCAATTTTTATCCAACTAAAAATACTCACACTGACTGCTCTGTTCATTCTTGAGTCTGCAGTGACAGTTAAAAGGAAGCCAGAACATTTTCCAAATAATCAACAAATCCATAACTATTCATCGAGACAGAATTGGAAATGTTACAAGTTTCATCCAGTTTAGTGAGAGATGGGCCAAGATCTACATGCATAAGAATATATCATAGAATTCCAGCAGCCATAAGGGAAATTGAAGATGCTGAAAAGTTCAAATCTAAGCTTAACGAATATCTAACAACTAGGCCTTATTACTCAGTAGAAGAGTTTTAAAATCAGGAATAGGTCTAAACTTTTGACGACCGTGGCACACCCGCGTGCTACTAATGGGATACCTACAATCAAAGAAAATAGATACAAGTATCAAGTAAAAATAAGTATCAAGTATGGAGAGGTCAAGCTTACAAATAGAGCTCTAAAAAAATTTAGGCTAGTTATTTTTATTTGACAATTCATTGTATATATTTCACCGTACCATCTCAAGAACTGTAGGGTATTAATACATTATCCCATGACAAGTCGAAATAAAAACAAACGATCTATTAATATATTAAACATTTTAAATAAACAACCAACTTAGGTCCGTGAAGTTGGCGTACCCATATTAGCGTATCCACTTTTGATCATACCAATCGTTAGTTCATCGTTAGTTCTCAATAGTTCCCAATTTTTTTCGTTAGTTCTAAAAAAAAAAGTTATAGCCGATTATAAGTGGGTACGCTAACTTCACACTTCCGGGTTCTAAAACGCGCCGTTTTCTGAGGAGAAATGTTTACATCTATATATCAATCGTTAGTTCTTCGTTAGTCCTCGATAGTTCCCAAATTTTTTCGTTAGTTCTCAAAAAATAAAAAAGTTATGAGGCATACAAAGTGGGTACGCTAACTTCACAATTGTACAATTTCCAGCGGGAACAGTTTTTTTTACTATAAATGCCTATATCTATATACCAATCGTTAGTTCTTCGTTAGTTCTCGATAGTTCTCCAATATTTACGTTAGTTCTCAAAAAATAAAAAAGTTACGAGGCATACAAAGTGGGTACGCTAACTTCACAACTATACAATTTCCAGCGGGCACCGTTTTCTGACTATAAATGCTTATATCTATACACCAATCGTTAGTTCTTCGTTAGTTCTCGATAGTTCTCCAATATTTACGTTAGTTCTCAAAAAATAAAAAAAAGTTACGAAGCATAAAAAGTGGGTACGCCAACTTCACAATTATAGAATTTCCAGCGGGCACAGTTTTTTTTACTATAAATGCCTATATCTATATACCAATCGTTAGTTCTTCGTTAGTTCTCGATAGTTCTCCAATATTTACGTTAGGTCTCAAAATATAAAAAAGTTACGAAGCATAAAAAGTGGGTACGCCAACTTCACAATTATAGAATTTCCAGCGGGCACAGTTTTTTTACTATAAATGCCTATATCTATATACCAATCGTTAGTTCTTCGTTAGTTCTCGATAGTTCTCCAATATTTACGTTAGTTCTCAAAAAATAAAAAAGTTACGAAGCATAAAAAGTGGGTACGCCAACTTCACAATTATAGAATTTCCAGCGGGCACAGTTTTTTTACTATAAATGCCTATATCTATATACCAATCGTTAGTTCTTCGTTAGTTCTCAATAGTTCTCCAATATTTACGTTAGTTCTCAAAAAATAAAAAAGTTAAGAGGCATACAAAGTGGGTACGCTAACTTCACAACTATACAATTTCCAGCGGGCACCGTTTTCTGACTATAAATGCTTATATCTATACACCAATCGTTAGTTCTTCGTTAGTTCTCGATAGTTCTCCAATATTTACGTTAGTTCTCAAAAAATAAAAAAGTTACGAAGCATAAAAAGTGGGTACGCCAACTTCACAATTATAGAATTTCCAGCGGGCACAGTTTTTTTACTATAAATGCCTATATATATATACCAATCGTTAGTTCTTCGTTAGTTCTCGATAGTTCTCCAATATTTACGTTAGTTCTCAAAAAATAAAAAAGTTACGAGGCATACAAAGTGGGTACGCTAACTTCACAATTATACAATTTCCAGCGGGCACAGTTTTTTTACTATAAATACCTATATCTATATACCAATCGTTAGTTCTTCGTTAGATCTCGATAGTTCTCCAATATTTACGTTAGTTCTCAAAAATTAAAAAGTTACAAGGCATAGAAAGTGGTTATGCCAACTTCATAATTATAGAATTGCGAATCGCGAGTAGTATGACAGCAAATGCTCGTGTTTTCCGTTCATTGCCGGTATTTTTGCACATATCAAAGTGAACGTATATTTTTGCCATTCCCGTAACGAACATCTGCTGGGCAAACAAAACATGTGTGTACACGTTTTACTCGTTAATCGGCAAATAACAAGACATTTAGTTCGCCGAACGGCAAATATGTCGTGCTTTGGGAGTGGCGCATGTCTGGAGACAGCTTATTTTGTTGACGGAAGAACTTCAAATGGCGTTTGACATGGCTTAGGAAAAGTTGAAAATCTGAAAATCACTCTTATCTAGCAAAAATATCGGCAATGAGCGGAAAACACGAGCACGAGCATTTGCTGTCATACCTACTACTCGCGATTTGGCGAGTTGCTGTTGTGTACTTGGCGTGGGTACAGTCTGGAGCCGGCTATAGGCATGGAACCTGAATAAAACCCCCTTTTTGCAAATCATTAAATTAATTTTAAATAATTATTTTATTATAACTAATTTAACATGAGATAAAAATATTTATTCTCGGTATATATTAATAATCTAACACGACATTTAATTTTGAACGTATTTATAAACTGTTTAAGAACGATGCTGTGAATGTTTGAAAGAATAGTTGATGAGTGTAAGTTTTTGAGAACTATCGAGAACTAACGAAGAACTAACGATTGGTGTATAGATATAAGCATTTATAGTCTGAAAACGGTGCCCGCTGGAAATTGTATAGTTGTGAAGTTAGTGTACCCACTTTGTATGCCTCGTAACTTTTTTATTTTTTGAGAACTAACAAAAAAATTTGGGAACTACCGAGAACTAACGATTGGTATATAGATATAGGCATTTATAGTAAAAAAAACTGTGCCCGCTGGAAATTCTATAATTGTGAAGTTGGCGTACCCACTTTTTATGCTTCGTAACTTTTTTTATTTTTTGAGAACTAACGTAAATATTGGAGAACTATCGAGAATTAACGAAGAACTAACGATTGGTGTATAGATATAAGCATTTATAGTCAGAAAACGGTGCCCGCTGGAAATTGTATAGTTGTGAAGTTAGCGTACCCACTTTGTATGCCTCGTAACTTTTTTATTTTTTGAGAACTAACGTAAATATTGGAGAACTATCGAGAACTAACGAAGAACTAACGATTGGTATATAGATATAGGCATTTATAGTAAAAAAAACTGTTCCCGCTGGAAATTGTACAATTGTGAAGTTAGCGTACCCACTTTGTATGCCTCATAACTTTTTTATTTTTTGAGAACTAACGAAAAAATTTGGGAACTATCGAGGACTAACGAAGAACTAACGATTGATATATAGATGTAAACATTTCTCCTCAGAAAACGGCGCGTTTTAGAACCCGGAAGTGTGAAGTTAGCGTACCCACTTATAATCGGCTATAACTTTTTTTATTTTTTGAGAACTAACGAAAAAAATTGGGAACTATCGAGAACTAACGATGAACTAACGATTGGTATGATCAAAAGTGGATACGCTAATATGGGTACGCCAACTTCACGGACCTCCAACTTTGGCGATTTGACACTTCGGCTTTGATTTGCAAAGACAGACGACAACCACTACGAACATCGTCACAGTCAGTGCAGTTGCAGATGATCTGAAGTAATCTTGGAAAGCTGGAATATGGGAAACGATGACGTCATTAACGGAGCGTCTCTTGAGCATTGCAGGAACTCGACCAAGGCCCCACTAGAAAAAAACGTTTTTCTAGTGGGGCCTTGACTCGACCCGCCAAAGGGCTCTCTACTCCGCGCTGTTCACGGAGGAATTTTGATCTAAATTAACATGTCATCAATTCCTCATTAATACCTCCCGTAAGTCAGACCCGAAAATAGGATGGGAACGAAACTCGGACTCGCTCTGGACTGCGAGTCACTCAAACTCGGCAGTTAAAAGTTGAGTCTAGTTGTCTGCTAGTAGCTAAGCTATTGGATACATTGGCTTCCACAACCACGCTACTGCTACTTCTATCTGCTTCTGCTAGAACTAGAACGCTAGAATGCTAAAATGCTAGTCTTGTGCCATTATTGTTTGACGATGTACTGATGAAGATGTGTGCTATTTAATATTGTAGGTGATGAAAGCACGAACAGTTTTTTCCAATTTATAGGTTATTTGGAAAAGTCCCACCTTTCTGATTAATGGATTAACTTCTGGTTTCGTCATATAATCAGGTAGGCCTACTTAAGTTGGTAGGCCTAGGCTATTTAGGCCTACCCCAACTTAATTTCTAAGTTCATAAGCTTAGGCCTAGGCCTAACTTAGCGATGATGATGATGATGTGTATTAAAAATACCCCCGCTGCAGCATACCTGCTGACTAAGCGAATTTCCATTTGTCTGAACTGATTTTCGATCAAATCTATTTAAATAACATTAGGTTTAACGAGTACCTAGGTTTGCTGCTAACTAATTAAACGAGTTTTTTTAGTAAAATATTAATAGCTTAGTAAAAGATAAATAAATTGGCCAAGTTTAATCCAAATATATCAATAAACAAGCAAACTACATCATTTTACAATATTCTCCATAAGAATAAGTTAACATCGGAATTTTAAATTTAAAATTTAAAATTTTTGGAAGTTTCTCCGTTAGGTACCAATAACCGTACAAAAACACTTTGATATAGGCTACTAAATTATTTGTTTTTTAAGCTCTTTAACAGAGCTTCTTCTAGAGAGAAATTGAGAAATTTTGTGTTTTGAGGGTCAAAAATGAGAAAAACCATTTTTTACTTCATAAAAGCCCCTGCAAAACACTGCTCCCATGGTCCGATCATGCTGGTTCGCGAACTCATTCAAGTTTATCCCGCCTTACACCTTCAAACCAAATTTTATCAAAATCGGACAAAAATTACTCAAGTTATCGCGTTCACGGACGTGTATATATATATAAATAAAGATTAAACATTAGGTAACAAACTTAGTACCCAAGTAAAATTATTTATTAAGTTAATAAATAGTTTTACTTGGGTACTAAGTTTAACTTAAGTTTATTAATGTTTAAAATCTTTATTTATATTGGTATAGTTAGCCCTATTATTCTATTTTTCATATATATATATTTATATATATATATATATAAATTTGAATGAATAGTGTTTTTGACCTCTGGGGACATCAAAATGAAAAAGTAAATCGGTCCCGGGCCTAGGTCTTACCGTGCCACCTACGGTAATAGCTATTTTCCCTATAGGGAAATTCGCTAAAAAGTCTTTTAATACTTAAAAGACGACACAATCTATCTGACAATCGTCAGTCAAGGATTAAGAATACAAGTATCAAAGTAAGTAGGCCTAAGATGATGACAGTGATGATAGCCTAGAAATTGTTTTGTTTCCCTTTTGTAATTATGCAGGAGATGGTAACGAAGAGAACCTTGGTTTTCATTCATATATCATTAGAAACTAGATTTTTACCTGAAAACAATGTGCAAAAATTGTTTTGTGGTCACAAAAACTGAATTGATTAACTTAGTTACGATTGTTTGAATTTTATTTCAATGTTGTATTAGGAACGTTGAATCTGCACTTAATATTTACACTGAAGTATTTTAAAAGCCCAAGTCACATTATTGATTGATTAAGTTTTATGCCAGTTTAAAGTGAATATTAAGTTACCCTCACAACCCACACTTAGGCAGGTAAGTTAGGCTACTATTTCTTTGAAATGTTGACTATACAAAGTAGGTATTTTAAGCCTAGTATGAATTGAGATGAGTGGTGCGATCTTGTAGTCTTGTTAGTGACTAAGGCCGACATATTCCTTAAGCACGTGTCACATTAGGCTGGCGAGGAGCCCGAGTGTGACCCGAGCTTAAGACACAGATGTTAATTAAGATAATAGCTCATACCGCTAACACAAAGGGACCTAGAGATTATAGTGGAATCCAAACCATATTTTTGCCTTGGTATTAACAAATTGGTCTAATTATCAGTATAGGCCTAGTACTGCGGATACGGTAGTCGTAGTACTTACTAGTGCTGATGTTAATCCACACCAGGTAATATAAGTTAACATCCACAGTGCATGTCTATAAATATCCACAATTAATTCCTTAATTTAAGTAGGATATATGAAATATTTGATTGAAATTTCCTAATTAAGATTAAATATTAAACACCTCTAGGACCGACATATTTAATCTGGATCTGAACGGGATTATGAAAAAATGAAGTAGGAATTAATTTTGTTCTTTTCTTCCCTTCACCGAGTGGCTTAGGTTAGGTTTTGACCATGTAACTGTTATATCCTATTAACTTATGGTAATAGTGTTGTGGCAGTTTTGATAAAATGAATAAACAAAAAATTGACACTAATTCTAACCTAACGCAACCCAACAAACTTCTCAAACAGCTTAAGATTTGTTTTTTATAAAGTTGTTATGCTGATTCGTGACTGTATTAACTTAAGTCCTTTGAAGTTAGGTTAGATTGGGGAAGATAATGTTTAGGTTATTAAATGAATCAAGTTTTTGATTGATGTTATCTACAGGCTGTTTGTGCACTTCTTAAAAAAGTGATATATAGGTAAATTCGACAAATAATAATTTTTATAATTTATTTTTTATGTCGTTTTTTTTATTTTATTACCTTTCTAATTTAACTTAACTTCAAAACACTTAGGTAATACAGTCAGGAATCCATATAACACCCAACCTACCTACCTCACATGTTTAAATAAGAACTGATTAAGTAGTTCATAATCAACCCTTAGTTGAATTTACAAATGCCTCTACCTCTTTGTCCTTTTTGTATAAACTTAATGTTTGTCATCTTAGGTTTCTTTTTCTTCCCTAAGATCCTTTCAATCGTTCTAATGTTTATGTTAAACTAAGTCAATTCACAGTAGACCAGCAGACAAGAGGCACAGTAATAAAATTCAAACAATCGTAGTCTAATAAGTTTTTGTGACAGCAGATCAATTTTACACCACTGTTTCAGGTAAAAATCTAGTTTCTAATAATATATAAATTACTATGGTTCTCTTGGTCACCATCTCCTGCATAAAATTTCCAAATCGTTCACTGTGCTATAGTCCGTCCGTTTGGCTATGATACCCAGCGAATTAGGAACCTTCTCGGAACTCGACTCACCCTTCAGACCCGCTCGCCAGGCTGGCCGTTGATAAAAAGTTTACCTTCCTACTGTCACAGTCCCACAGATATGTAACTTTTTTTAAATTTTAAGTTAAAATAAATTGTTATTTGAGTTCTACATTAAATTCCAAAAATTACACGATGTGGATACATAATATCTACGATCTGAAAGTTTGACAAAGCTGGTGACGATATAGAGTAATTGTAATACTTTCAGATCGTAGATATTAAGTATCCACATCGTGTTATTTTTGGAATTTAATGTAGAACTCAAATTTATAAAGAACAATTTATTTTAACTTAAAAAAAGTTACAGATCTGTGGAACTGCGCCAGTGGGTGAGTCATTGTTTGCCTCCGGCCAGCCCGACGAGCGGGTCGAGAGGGTGAGTTGAGTTCCGAGAAGGTTCCTAATCCGCTGGGTATCATAGCCAAACGGACGGACTACAGTTATGCAAATATTAATTTTTCATAGCCTAATTGATTTTAGGCCTATATTAATTAATGCTAGGTTGTTCTTTGACTTATGCGAATTCGTAACTGCATTAAGTTCAAGTCCGTTGAAGGTAGGTTCGATCATTAAGGTAGGCCAAGGTAAAGTTTAGGTTAAGTTAGATAAGACAATAAATTGTGTTACTTTGTTAGTTTATGTTATTTCCAGACTATCACTAGTCCAATTACTCCTAACTTAACATAAGTTAAAACACTGTGTTTAAAGACATTGCAAAATACATTTAAATTAAAGGAGTTGGTTCTCAAGCCAGGGTTTTTTAAGTTATTATTAAAGTGGTTTAAATACCTGTCATGTTGATAATCCAAGTGGTTGTGTAACATAGTTTCGGCTTACAATGGAGTATTCTTCAGGGTTTTTCCAAAGGTATTTTATTCAAAGTTCACAAATATTTACATAACATAAATAAACGGTATCAGCATTCTGACACATACTTTCTCCCATAAGTTTGTCAACAACCTTTATCATGTGTAAGTGGTGAGGGTAAATATACGCAAATGGGATTTGTACAATTTTGTTCAGAATTTAAAGGACTATAACATGCTAAATTTTTATCAAAATCGTTCGGGCCATTTTTGGGAAAATCCGATTTTTCTGTTATTTTATGGGGGTTTTATGGGAAAATGACATAATTTACAATAACTTTTGAACCGTAATTTTTACAGAAATGGGATTTGTACCATTTTGTTCAGAATATAAAGGACTACAACATACTCAATTTTTTATGAAAATCGTTCGGGCCATTTTTGGGAAAATCATATTTTTCCGTTATTTTATGGGGTTTTATGGGAAAATCCCCATTAAAAATAATAAATTCTAAAAAATTAAAAAAACTATCAAAACTGTAAGGGCTATAACATACTATGTTACATCAAAGCCGGGTTTTTTTTCTAAAATCCTATTTTTTGTTATTTTATGGGGTTTTTAATGGGAAAATAACATATTTGACCATAACTTTTGAACCGTAATTTTTACAGATATGGGATTTGTGTTATTTTATTCAGAATTTAAAGGGCTACAACATACTAAGTTTTTATCAAAATCGTTTGGGCCATTTTTGAGAAAATCCGATTTTTCCGGTTTTTATGGGAAAATCCCCATTAAAAATCAAAATTTCAAAAAAATGAAAAAAACGCCTGGAGATACCATGGATTAGAACCTACATACCAAATTTCATCGAAATCGGACCACAGGTGTGGTCTCTAGCTCTGTACACATCCAGACACACACACACACACACACACAGACATCACTTCGAAAACCACTTTTTTGGGTCCAGGGGGACCCAAAACGAATATATCCACTCAAACTCGAAAATTTTGACAAAAACAATACTTTCTCCATATACTATGGTATAGGGGGAGAAAGTAAAAACATTTAAAACACGTAACACGCATGCCTAGGCCTAGCTTTAACGACGTGACCGGTGGGAGTTTACCTCTAGAAGGTCCTATGGTTCAGTTAATAACTCAAATCGCTAAACTCACTGGGAAGATGGATCAGCTTAATTAAGAAAGTCGATTCACTCAAGAATGACGATATTGTACCTAACGTGAGGGCATCAAGGATCTTCAGTGTTAAGATTTCTGCTCTTGAGCTTAGTCATGCTGCCTCTGAGGCTAGGATTTCTGCCCTGGAGGAGAGTTTAAATACTATGAGTACTGCTGGTGGTCATACTAACACGGAATGTCTCGTTGGGGAGCTTAATGACAGATCTCAGCGAGGTGCTAATTTCTAGTATACAATTTGAAGGAACCCACTGGTGCAAAGGAAAAAAAGAAAAAGATCCAATCCCAAAGGAAAGGAAAGACCAAGACATCCATCATGTTAAAAATATAGTCTTGGAATTGGATGTTAATTTTGATACTGATCGGATAAGATCATATAGGCTTGGGAAGTTCGTACGTGGCAAGGTTCACCCTCTTAAAGTTGTGTTTGGATCAGCTAATGATGCAAAAATATTCAACATAAGTTACTCACAGGACGTTGTCACTCTTGATGCTGCATATGAGAGTCTGTCTATAGGAAGAGATCGCACAGTAAAGGAACGTGAATACCTTAAGAATGAGCTGGAAGAACGTCAGAAAAAGGGAGAAGAAAGTCTAACCATCAAATGCATCAATGGAGCTCCAAACATTGTGAATGGTTCTTAAAAAAAAGATGTGCAAAGTCTGAAATGATGTCGAAATTAAATATCTACTTCCAGAATGTAAATGGACTGAGAAGTAAATTGAATCAGTTAAACTTTTTGTAATAACCCATGATTATAATATAATTGTTTTAGTGAAACCCAATTTACTACCTGAGATAAGTGATGCTGAGCTGGGATTCACTGACTTTACTGTTTATTGATGTGACCGATCTGAAGGGACTTCCCAAAAGCTGAGGAGTGGTGGAATTCTTACCGCTATAAGTAATAGATTGGTTAACAGGGAGATTTTCCCCCAATTACAGTCTGTTGAATGGTATTTTACACTTATAGAATTATCAAAATCCTATCTGCTCCTTCGTGCTGTGTATCTTCCTCCAAACAAAGTTTGGTTCTGTATGTGAAAAATTATGCTTTCAAATGGCTCAAATGGTCCCAATCTTCTGGTTGGAGATTTCAACTTACCAGATACTATATGGGATGATACTGACAATACTATTTTTGATCCAACTTCTGTTCCCATTCTCAATTTAGCTAAATTTTTTGGACTTCAGCAATTTAATGACATCTAAAACGACCGTGGAGTATTACTGGATCTGGTTTTCTCATCTTTGGAGCATGTTGAGGATACCTACTCAGGCCTTGGATCCTTTGGTCCCGGTTGAATCACATCACCCTTCCCTTGACATCAAAGTTAAATGTAAGAATATATTACTTACGTCAATTAGCTCATTGAGTCGTGAGTTTCACCTCAGTACATGTTACGACACATTGTCATCATCAGCTGAGTTAGTACTTGTGAAGGTTTTATTCACCAGATGGCTTCGTCATGTTGAATAAATTAACACGTAACATGTAACACGAATACGACACGACACATATACATTTATAACACGTAAAACTTGAAGACATGCAGGCCTGCTTGAACAAAACATACGGTCATGCCGCGGGTCGGGGACAGACTGACTATTTGTTTATCCAGGCTTATCATTGTTATCTCGGAGGCAGTGGACAGCTGTTTCTTTGGTAGGAATGATAGAGTTGAATATTGAGTTGGAGCTGAAATTTAGTTTTTTCGTTTAGAACAACTTCCTTTGCGTCATTATTTTTATGAGCTCTGTAGATTTCATATTCTTCTAACGTGTCCAATTTTCTGCCTTTTTCACAAATGTGGAGTATTTCTAGACTGTTTTCTATTGTTCCGAATGAGTTGTAGTCGATTATATGTTGGCTGAATGCTGACTTCTGTTTGTTCGTCCTAGGGTTGGGTCTGTGTTCTTTAAACCGTGTGTTAAACCCGCGACCAGTTTGGCCTATATATATGCTCGGGCAGTCAGCACATTTTAATTTATAGACACCAGTTTTGTTATTAGTATTCGTTTCTACATTTGGCGTTTTGTAATTCAGCAAGTTTTTTGTTTTATTCTTAGTGTTGAATACTAGGCTTAAGTTGTTATTTTTCATAGATTTGTTCAACGTGTGTTGTATGGTGTGACTGTATTCAATACATACATATTTGGCCTTATTTTCACGGTTTAGTTGACAAGTTTCAATGTTATTTTCTCGTTTGTTCTTATGTTTGGTGATAAGTCTGTCCACTAAACTGTCAACATAACCATTTGCCCTAGCTATCATTCCTATTGTCCTATTGTCTATCATTCCTACCAAAGAAACAGCTGTCCACTGCCTCCGAGATAACAATGATAAGCCTGGATAAACAAATAGTCAGTATGTCCCCGACCCGCGGCGTGACCGTATGTTTTGTTCAAGCAGGCCTGCATGTCTTCAAGTTTTACGTGTTATAAATGTATATGTGTCGTGTCGTATTCGTGTTACATGTTACGTGTTAATTTATTCAACATGACGAAGCCATCTGGTGAATAAAACCTTCACAAGTACTAACTCAGCTGATGATGACAATGTGTCGAAACATGTACTGAGGTGAAACTCACGACTCAATGAGCTGATTGACGTAAGTAATATATTCTTACAATTATATCCACAGCTCAGGGGCTTAAGAATGAATTTAAATAAAGTTAAATGCCCGGGTAGGTTACGGCCAAGAAACATAACATACAAGCTAGACTACAACAAGGAAGAAATATTCAATAATCTACAGAATTGGGAGTATCCATCACTGAGTTGTGTTGAGGACATGGAATCGTCATTTACGGCCTTTTGTTCCAGGCTAAGCTCCCTTATAAAACTATTTACTCCACTAAATGTCTTGGTAAATCTACATTTCCTTGTTGGTTTTCTCATGACTTTGGTATTCTGTCGTGTACGGACCCAATGTAAACAGCTCACTGTGAATTGCTACAGAAACTATATCAAACAGGTATAAGATTCAATGCAAGAAAATATTAAGGGCTTCTGCGAAAATATGAACAGCCTTTTTTATTCTGAAAGATTCACAAAACAAGTGTAACTTAGATTTCTCAAATGATCTTAGTAGGCCGAGGTCCAGGCTGCCTACTCCTGAAACAGGGCCTAGGCAAATAAATGTAAATAGTTTTAACTCTGACATGGTGATAGCCACCGTGAATGTTCAATGTTTAAAAACCACTCTTTTAGCACGTTATTTCCAAATTGTTCCCGGACCCCCTTCATTGCTGGGGGGTATTCCAACCCCCATACCCCCCCCCCCCAAAGTATATGTCTAGGACCGCCCTTTATTTCATCTGATAATATATTATTGCAGGCTCTTCAATGAAATGTCTCACTGTGTATGTTGAAGAAATGTTGATGTTGGTTGATAATTGGCCTATCGCTGAATAAATATTTAACTAAATGTTTCAGAGGTATATAATGCTACAAGAATGGCAGCGAAGAGAATCTCAGCCCAAAAATTTCTGCCACTCTGTGTCTTTTTTGCCACGTTCACAATTGTTATGACAATACTAGTTTGCTCGACTGACATGAGATGTGAGTAACTCTGTTTTATTTCAAAATCACGCTTTTGCGATTTTAATTAATTTAATTTCTTCAATGAACGGTTATTACAAGCTGTTAATAACTTTGTTGTACTTAAGTGACCACATTGATGGACACCTAAATGTAAATTATTTGTTAGGTACCCATATCCTATCATGCATGTAGGCCTACACACACATTTTGCCAACCATATAATTTCTTACAAAATATTCTCCATATCTATAACATTATTCTATACCATGGTGGAAGGAAAAAACATAGGTGTGCTATTCCCATTATATTCTGACGTCACTCGGATTGCAAACAAAAGATCACCTGATTCTAACTGTCAAATTAGTACATATATTTGTTTTGATTTGGTTCTTATTGTTTTTATAATGTGTGTTTTTATAAAAAACAATAACAATCAAATCAAAACAAATACATACTAATTTGACAGTTACAATCAGGTGGTCTTTTGTTTGCATTGCAATCCAAGTGACGTCAGAATATGACGGGAATAGCACACCTATGTTTTTTCCTTCCACCATGATTCTATACTTGAATGGTGATGTAAAAAGGAATATTTTTAGAAGCCGGCTCTGAAAGCATTTTAATGAGTCATTACGAAGGGAATGTTTTGTCCACAACTTGTACCATTGCTCACTTAATAAGTCGATGAGTTGAGAAATTCTCATTATCTTGCATCACGCTCTGTTGGTCATGCCTGGAAGTGAAAACTAGCTATGTTTCACTCAATGACTTGGTTGTGTACTCCCACAATATTATAACAAATTTCACTTACTTCTTGGATTATTATAAATTCTTGAGTGCTTTTTGACAAAAAATCTTGACCGGTTTATAGTTAAAGACTCTGAAGGAAATGCTCCACACAAACAAGTATTGCCACTTGTTCTATTATCACAGTTACTTTTCCAAATTAGGTCCTCAAATGTTGTTTTTTAAACGTTTTTATTAGCTCGCTTTCTTGTCCGGTAAAAATTTTGGAATCAATTTTATATTAACTTCCCGATAAGCTGGAGACTTGAAACTAGGAACATAGCTTACAAATGGATGATAATACAATATTATATAATTTAATTTTCATTATTATTTTCTTGCATGTTTAGGGCTACTAATATAATAAAAATAAAAAACATAGTTACCAAAGTACCCTTTTAGTAATTATTTTATTTAATAATTTAATTTTCACATTTCCCTTGGGCTACGCCCTATGGACTTGTATTTATTATTTCGCTTTCTTACAAATTTTGATATCAATTTAAACAAAGTTCCCTGCAATAGATCATACTAGTTCAATAGGTGAAGTTAATTGTAAATTAGCATGCACCCCACGTTTTTCGTTTTAAATCTTACAAGTATTTATTCTCTCAACATATTTATAAATTATTTTCTACTTTTTAGTGTCTATAAAAACGTGGCATGTTTAAAAAGTATTTTGATTTATAAATTATTGAATTTAAAATAACTTTTAATTACCTTATCTCCAAGGCCACTGAAACCTCAAAGAAGGTTTTTGGCCTTGGTATCAATTGCCTCCAATCTCTTATATCACCTGCCTCCTGCAATGTGGATCTTAGTATTTCATTACTTCGTCTTCCCACCTTATTTTTGGTTATCCAAGTGGTCCATGGATACTATATTATTACAACGGCTATAACAATAACAATTATATCTTTTAATTGTTAAGAATATCTTCTCTCCTCTTTACATGGCCTGCCCATCTCAGTCGTTTACTTTTAATTTAAAATGAATGAAGGGTTAGATCAAACTCGTGTTTTGTGTTACTAATGACACAACTTAATAGAAATCTATATACTAGTAGGAGAAACATTCTTTTGAAATCATTTTCTAACAGATATTCTAAAGTCCTTACCTTGGCTTATGAATATAATGCCAAGTAAGTTTTTTAGTTTCACAATCTAAACTTTTTTGCATTTACAGCTCGAAGATATCACCGGATGCTCAATTTAAGTCTTGAAGCTGATTTTCAAAATGTAGCCCAAGAAGATCCGCAGTTAATATCATTTATAAGAGAAAAGCACCTTCGACCTCCTCCGAAGAGTCATGGTAAACGTGTGAATGTTGATGTGGAAGCGATTCCTGAACTTGGGGAACTTTTCAGCTGGAAGGTATACACTGACGGATAGTTGTTTTTTTTTAATTTGTTTAACCCTAGCAGTGGCCAATGTTAGAAGTAGGAATGGCCAACCCATTTTGCAGACCTTTTTTTGAAAACTCATAAAAATTCAACCGTACAAGTATCTAGCCAACGTCATATTCATTTTGTTTGGAAAGAACAGGAGAATCTAGAAATAGTATAGTTATGATAATATAATAATGATATAGACAGTTTATTTTTTTGTAAAAGTGAAAAAATAAGAATTTTTTTAAAACTCAAAAGCAGCCTAGGTAAATTTTTTTCTACAAATTTTTTATGGGAATTTATTTTATAAATTTTGTAGACAATCTAATTCCCTACATCTATAACATATTATAATTTCCTACATTTATAATATGTTAGGACATTTTTTTTATAAGTTGTTAGGGCGAAATATAATAACAAACGGAGAACCGAAAAAATTGAAATCCGTACAAAGGTGAGTTTGTATTGTAAAAAGTTATATAATATATGTGTAATGATATATACATGTTTGTAAAGCTAATGAAGTAAGGAATCCAAAAAAGTCATAAAGTTTATGGTAAAAATATTTTTTTATTTATAAATAAAATGTTTTTATATTTTAGCGATTTTGTGAAAGAAAAATCATAGTATTTAGTATAAAACTTTTGTAACAAATGTTTTTACTTCAAACCAAAATAATCATCTTGTAGTGTATTCAATTACCTACATAAAAATGTATAACACGTTGGATAAAATTTTTGTTTTTACGTGTTAGGGGCATAATAATGTAATAAAAATAAACGGAAACCCGGAAAATACAACCGCAAGAAAAATACAACCTTTTATAAACACAATTTCACACTATTCAGTAAATATTCATGCATAATAAAATGCATGAAAATTACTGTTATATATACACACATATTTCTCTAACAATACAAAATAATAACAAATTTAGTATTAAATCACGGATGACACCAGAGCGAAAACTCACTGGCAACAACACGCAATGGCGAATACAAGGCACTTTGTGTATTACACCTTGACAGTAGTGAAGCACTTTCGTCATCTTCCTGAGAGAAAACGGAAATAACCCTGAGAGCAGGTCTGCCACTATCACAAGCTACATTTATTACTCTTCAAAATGACATATTATATGACTAGTAATAATAACCTATACTGTATGTAATTTGTAATTTCCGTACAATCGTCTAGCGACTATAGGTCATTTCTCATAAATTTCGAAAACAGCTGTTTTCATAAAATTGTACCGGTTGCCCAATCAATATTTCCTTCTAAATATCACTACCACAATGAAGATTAAATCAATGGCTATCCAGTGGTACCACCCGCAACATTCCAAGACGAAATTTACCCGAACAGGGTAATGCCAAACAAGTTGTGTTTTGCCAGTTCCCAAGTGTTGGCTACAAAAGTCATGCCGCGCCAAAAATTCATTTAATTTCTAATCATTGTGACATTGTTATATACCTGCTACAGGGTTTGTTTATGTAATAAAATGAAAGTTCAGAATGTGATCTTTCGAATGATATATATATTGTTCTCATCTGAGTTGATTATAAGCGTTTTTTTTTTTACCGTTAAAATAATTTCGGCCCTTACCATCCCTTAGGATTGTGGCCATTCTAAGCATCAACGGCGAACGACCGTCCCGTGATCGTTGGCCACTGCTAGGGTTAAATGGCAGTTTGAATATTTATATCGTGCTAGAGACACATCCAAATTATTGAAAGTCTGGATATTTGATATCTGAATTATAAACTTTCTACTGTATTATTTTTCCCAGCATTTCTCATGTGTACTATTTATTTTTATTTTCATTTATTTATTTATTAACCTAATGTACATGTCATCAAATGACAGGACTTTGTCAATACAGTATTAAGTACTTAAAAAACTTAATTAGTAATATTAAACATCAAAACAAAGGAATTTTTATAATTTGATAATTTAGTCTCTTAATTTTAAATCTTTCTCTCCTGAAGTCAGGATCAGAAATATATTGAAACTCTTGTTTTACTAATCTTAAATGGAAAACGTCCGCAGTAAATTTTTTAAACAAGAACAAAAGGTATTTCCAACCCTTGGTTTGTAATTTTAAATGTAGACAGGTCAGCAACCTAGAAAGAAAAATAAATGTATATTGCCTTTGTCCATACTCTGTTTTAAGTTCACTGTATTAAGTTGTTTTAATTATTATTTAGGTAGTATTAAGTAGTATTTAAGATAGAAGTTTGTCCTGTTGATTATATACAAATCAAATCAAAATTTTCTTTATTCATTATGTACACATAGAGTACAGAATGGCGTCAACAGATGTATGGATAGTGTGTAATACTCCGTCCACAAAATTTAGGCGGTTTAAGGGGAAGAACCTCCACTTGATCCTACGCTTAAAGCAATATTGTAATACTGTAGCTGACTTTGCCAAAACGTCAATCAGCTGTAACAAAAGCAAAAAAAGTAGTGGTGGGACGATTTCCCCTCAAATCGCCTAAATTTTGTGAATCTATAGTGCAGAATAAAATACAATTGACTTTGACTAGTGCAAAAACAGACATCTTCAATTTTTATTTTTTTAATACACTAGGCCTATTGTGTACAAAGCTAAAAATTGCATTTACCCATCAGATTTAAGTTGCGCTTAGAAATGAAAATTTCTCAAACCATGATATTCAGTAAAATAAAAATGATTCCTTGGAGTCTTCAACTGTCTACAAATCTTGTTTTTTTTTTTCAGAAAGGTGGAGTATTTGTAGAAGGTGGAGCGTACCGACACAACAGCACATCTGAAACGGAGTGGTTGGAGCGCACGCTACACTGGAGGGGGTTATTGATACAACCAGACCCCCAGGACTTCCGATTGTTGTTGTCGCGCAACCGCACACGTTCGTACGCAGCCAACGTTTGTCTTAGTCCTACACCCAACCCTAAACAGGTAGGATTCTAAACAAAAAATACAAGGATCAATTTTTATGAGGGCTTGTGTTGCAGGATGCAAGATTTAATTAACTCATTTTTATAGTACTAGGATTGCGTTAAATGACAAATAATAGCTAAATAGGTGAGCTGTTACTGTACTAAAGTAAACTGCACTGATAGATTTTAGTGAAGGTATTGAGACACAAACCCACAATATAATCATGAATTTCTAGTCTGTTGTCGTAGTGGTGATCGAGCCATAGACTCGCTCAAAAACACATGTTGAAATTTTGTAGTTTAAATATACCTGGCAATGTTCTAAAAACCACAAATTTCTATAATTCTAAACTTTAATATAGTCAAAAACATATTCATTTAACTTAAGTGTGGAAATAAGGTATCATTAATTAATAGTTTTACATTTGAAATAAGGATACTAAGTTACTAATGTTTAAATAGATTCCATATTAGCCCAGTTACTCTGTTGTTCATCTTATTCAACCATATTTTTAGTTGTTTAAAAGAATAGTTATTTGTGGAACTAGTGGGCAAAGTGGCACTTGGCTGCACATGAGAGGCCCAGGTGAGTGTGTAAAATTTCTCGAGTGCAGTAAAGGCACTTTGCATTCACGTTACACATTATATTTTTCCTTCAGTTACTACTGTATAAGCATATAAATGATTAGTGTTTAAAACAAATAAATAAAAGTTTAAAATACCTGATTGTCGCCTTGTGGTCCACAGTTTGTCCTAGTGGATTTTGTACATTTCGGCTCAAGCACCTGTGTTCATGTGTTGTGAACTTTCTACGCACCTCTTCAGGGAAGTTTAGTTATCAGTTCTTATACGGATCCCACAATGGCGCTTGTGCCGAAATTTACGTAATTTACGTAAATTTTTACGTAATCCACTGGGGCAAACTTTGGACCACAAGGAGACAATCAGGTTTTAACCTTTTATTTATTTTTCAATCAATTGGTCCGGAAACACGACAACAAAATATGAAGTCTTTCAAACACTATACAATAAGTTTTTAGGTTAGGTTAAATCCAAGTTTAATGAAAGGGGAAACGCTGCAGCATCTGATTGTAGTGGTAGTATCTTTAAGAGATGCGAAATTATTTCCAAGCATACACATATTAATTGCCTAATATAAGCTCACTTTTTTGTGTTGTTGGTTGGAATACTGGAGTGCTGATAAATAATAGAGCGGCAAAAGTAAGGGAATGCAGTAGTTAGCTACTTTGCGTGCTATAATCGGTACAAGAAAGCCCACTTTGTCAAGTAACTGTAGGAAAGATATTTTTAACTAGAGACAATTAGGATTATTATGTACAAGGATAGGGATCAGCTAGCTTACCTGGTGGATAGAGTCCAGATTAGCCTTGATTACACATAAAACACATGACACACTCTGATAACACTCTGATCCCTATCCTTGTACATAATAATCCTAATCGTCCAATTGGCCTTTTCTTAACTCCTTTAACTAGAGACAGTAATTTAAAAACAATTTGTTGTTGAAATGTAAGTAATTGTTGCAGGTGTCTTTCCGAGAAGTTGCCAAGAATATTTCCGAGAGTCAGTTGACCAAAGTACACTGTTTCCCTCTCTACTCCTTGTTGTTGGCCTATAATGCCACAACTGTAGACTTTCTTAGTCTGAAAGCTGAGAAAGCTGAACTGCAGGTTAGTGATTGAGTAAAAATATTAGTTTTTCCAACATTATTTTATATTCAAGGTATGGTCTTTAAGGATATCCAGCTGACCAGGAAACCAGGAGTTGTAGGAAAATTGTACACAAACTTATGGGACTGGGAAATACGGAATAATGGCTCAAATCCTATAGCTTAGCGTCCATCCATTAGCAGTGTTCTGTTGGTTGTTTCTTTTACGTCGTCTGTAACCAAGAGAGTCATGATCGTAGGAAATTATCACATTTCACAATATTGCTGTGATCTCTACCGGTATTTTTCCCCAGAACCAATAGTACTCACTTAAATGTTTTCAGGCACCGACACGCCACTAATATTTAGTATTCCATACCCCCAGAATTATTTTTTGAAGCAGCCCACCCATAAAACGGCCTTAATGCTCTTTCCAAATGTATGCCTGATGAAAGTCCCGATCGCAAACATTTTAACTCTTGATGTTTGGTGAAATTTCATTGGGTCGGGGTTGGTGTTAGTATCCAACCTGATGTCAATTCAACTAAATAGATTCTAATTGTAATATTGGATAAAACTTTATGAAAATGAGATGTCTACTTCTTTCTATAGTAAAAGGGTATACATTGGTACATGGATATGCAGTAGTTTTTATAACATTTACTGTTGTTCGCAGGTATTGAAAACATTGCCATTCTCACGAGTACGTATCAAAGTGATCAGTGTGCTGAATCCACCTGATGACCGACAGTACGGCAACGCTCTTCTCGTAAGACTCATGCGGCTGCTGAGCGTTCACGGCTACAAACTGCATCGTTACGCTTCCATCAACAACCGCTGGGTGTTTGTTTGTGCTCGTGGCTATTCCGGCTGTTCAGCTCTACGCGTAAACCAGTGATCTTAACGAATCCGATTGAGTTTGGACGAGTAGAGTCAGGATTGATCCCACAGCTGATTAACCTAAAGCTGTAAACCTCGGTATGATAACTCATATGGTTAACCAATGTCCATAAATAAAAGGTTTAGATATTCACGTAATAATCTCATGACCATAAAATATACAAGTTTTAATTGTAATAAACCAATAATAGTAAAAACATTTTCCCTTTGGATGCCTTTATTACGGTCAACTATAAATGCAAGATGTACTTTCGGATATCCATTATATAGAATAGTGCTCTATTCTACGTATGGTTTATTGACCAACTTGTTGTATATAGACTTAGGTACCGCTTCTCTATTCTTAAACAGTGATACTACTTATAAGCTTGTTTATTATTCAACAAAACTGTCTCACATTGCAATACCGTTTCTAAGTTATAAGGTGTTTGGTTCCAGGTTCAGGACACTTTGGAAGTAAAGATTTGCATTAAGAGGAGTTTTATATTTTATTTGTTGACAAATTTGCACCTAAAATATAAAGTTTTTTACTAATTTGTTATACTCTTGATTTTCAGAAGTAGTTGATGCACAGTAACAGTACATTTCAAAACTCATGCGGTTGAGGACAAGCAACCATCTCCTCCACTTAACTCTAAATATAAAACAACAGACAGCAGCTGATATCTAAAGTATAGGCCTACTAGCAAATTACAAAATACATCAGTTACAAAAGGCAAATTACAAAGGGAAAAACGTCAGTTGTAACTATGTAAATTGAGCAGATATATTACACTGAAGATTACTCAATATAGGGGTAAAATAGAGCGAGTGTTTCACTCTTATTTAAGGGTAGATTTTACAATTTTAATGCACTCTTTTTTATAGTTAACAACTGTATTCAGTTGTATTAGTATTAGCGTTAATTGTATTACAATAATCTTTTTAGTAAACAGTATACGCTTGAACCGGACTTAACTGCACTCAGCTAATCAATCATGCAAGAGTATTTTCATTTTAGAGAGTATGCTTATCCTGAAGTTTTTCCTTTATATTGCTTTTCTTTTACAATTGAAATAAACTATACCGAGCCATGACTCGGTTCTCCAGTACTAATTAATAATTTAAAATTCCATAAGTTGCCTTAGACTGCATACTTAGCGGGAACGTACATTCTCTTTCACATTGTTTTTTCAACACTTTTGACGAGACTAATCGGTCCCTTGGGAAGAAGCAGATAGAATTGTAGTTGAGGAGTAGGGTACATAATAATGAGTCTCAGATTCCAATTGCTATCTTATAGCTGTGACAGGAGCTTGAAAAAAAACCTTAATAAGTTTTAACAAACCCTTGGGTTTGTCGAGTTTTATTAAAATCATTGGCATGATTCAACATGTTATGAAATACATCAAGTTTTGCGAGTCGGGCTCTTGGTAATTTGAAAGATCTGTTATGTCCACTTTATTTATTATTAAAAAAAGACAAGTTTTAATACTCTACCCTAAAATATTACTGATTTGATTACTCTATGTTTTAGGTTTCATTACAGACTTCATTACTTAAGTAGAAAATTAAATTTGGCGTTTAGTTTTTTTTTTTAGATGTTTAGCAGTTGCTTACTATAAGAAAGTTGAAACTTTCGATTGAAGACTGATTCAAAATATGTTTCTGTGTTTGTCTATGCCGAAGTACTGTACTTTAAAGTACAGTACTACTTTTGGCTTTTTTATTTATTGAAAAAGATAATAATTATCTTAGTCTTTTGTTGTATTTATTGTTGTATTTTTAAAGTATCTGTATTTTCTATTTTTTTCATCACAGTGTTGTGTTATTTTTCCCAACCATTTTAGCAGCTATTCATATAGATGATGGATGAGAGGGGGTGGATTCATGTTGGCCTACACATAGATATTACCATAGAAAAAAAAAATTAAATATAGACTGTCAGCCGTGCTGCAGTTACCATAGGTTCTGGCGCACACCGCTTGGAGTGCCGCGTAGTTACTGCGTACGCGCTATGTAACTACACGACACTCCCAGAACCCACGGTAACCGCAGCACGACTGAAAGTCTATATTTCTTGTTTTTGTCTATGATATTACTTGCACATTCTTGGCATTTGGGAAGGATTTCTAGTCCTTAATCTTTTGTAATTCATTCACCAATATTTTTTTTTATGGCTGATGCATATCAACGCGAAGATTGCAGGCTGAATATAATATATTGTTTAATAACTATTCATTATTTAATAATATATTTTAATAATTATAATAATTTAATTTAAAATAATTTTTTGGTCATTTGAGAGGAAAACTGTTCAAAATGAATTAATAAGAAAATAGAGTTACAGTATGATACAAATCTGTTAAAATCCCAGATTTTCATTACCCTGACAATTGTTAGAGATTTTTATTTATAAATCTTAAGTCATAATCTTAAAGTATAATTCTTAAGTCATACTGTGTGTGTTATTAACTAGTCCAAAGGTACTCTCTCAAGTGTAAAGGACACTTTTTCTTATTCCTAAATTTAGGAAGAAAATCAATAAATCCTATCTGGAACTAAACCTCTCCATCCCTAACATAAAGTGATAAAAAATTGTATATCATGAAAATGTATTATAGTTTTGAGTAGTATCTGTAAATAATCAAAATACTTGAGTTAACTTACCAAAGGCTTAGGATCAAAAACACATGACTGTTTCTTAGTTGTAGAGATTTATTTACTACGGTTGTGTAACTTTACGTTTATAGCTTTATGTTGGTATTATCAGTTAAGTGATGCAGGTTTTTTAGGTGTGATAGTTGTATGTTAATGTTATTACATTAGTTTTCATTCATAAGTGCATTTATGTTTATATGTTTTCAGCCAACAAAAGTTTTTGTTTGTAACATTGTACCGAGAGAGCTTAAGTGCTGTGCACTATGTTTAACACTGTTATAATCTAGCACCCTTTTAATTTTTCATGACAATATTTAATGGATGGATTCATGACCAAAGACTTAATCTCACATTATCTCTTTTAAAAAGTCCATATCCACTCTAAAGGCTGGCCACGCACTGTATTCAACTGACACAATAAGATTATTTTGGCTTATGCCTTATATTTTCTGTTCTGACATGTTTGGTCCAATAAGAATGTTAAAAATTCCAAAACTCTCATTGGGGTTAGCTGTATCATCAGAAGGGATTTCTGACAGCTTGGTTGCTTTTGTCGGAGACAAAATATTTGGTTTCATTATCAACAAATGCAAGAAATGTTGTAAAAATGTATTTAATTATTTCCGATCTTGGCCAGTTTTGTGTGCGACAAGCCTGAGGAAAACTATTTTTAAGCACATTGGTGTCATTTTCAAGGCACGCTGAGTTCCTAGAACGCCCTTTACTATTGGAAGTAAAATTATAAGCTTTAATTATTATAAGCGTAGAATTATTGTAACATATCTAGATCTAATGAGATTAATGTTAAGGTAACGGTGCTTTCACATTGTAGTAAGCAAAATTTTCTCTAGTATATTAATCTTTTACTACTAAGGGAAAAGTAAAATTCTTTTGAGCATATAGCCTTAATGTAACCTAGCGTAGCACTAGAATTGGGTAGTTTGAATTTGAAAACAGTCCATAGTTTACCCTATAAATTTCCAGATTTCTAACTGTAACTAATAAAAATGATCAACACTTACTTAAATACATCAACATTCAAGTTATGTATTCTGTATTTGATTTTTTATCCATGTTGTGTTTCAGTATTAAAAATAAGATTCAATATTTCATTTATTGGTTGTGTAAAACAATAAAATACTGTCAACATGGTACAAGTTATTGAAGAAATAAAGTATAAGCAAAGATAAAATACTTTGTTTATTATTTTGTAAAACCTTTCCAGAACTGTTAACTTCAGGATGTGATGCTAGCGTCTCGGACTTTGTGCCAAGAGGAGTGAATTCGATCCCCCCCGGCATACTTTCCCTCAACAGTGTTAGTGATTTCTTAAATCAAAATGTCACAAGTATAGACACAAAAAAACTAACCCTTTGGTAGATAAGAAGACGTTTTCTAGGTATAATCAAATCAAATTCATGAGGCAATGCACTGCTTGAGGCCTTTTATTTAGGGTGGTATATAAAGAACTAGCACATTTTAACTGCATGGCAACATTTTCATATGTAGGCTACAGATAGAAAAACTCAACTAAGTTTTTGGCGATATTCAATAAACCTCAATAGGGCCACCATTTAAGGCTCTGCAAGTTGATAAGATATGCTATTGCACATTTCACTGCAGAAATGCTGAGAAATGTTTGGTGGGAGGTCGAATGTCGATTTGACACGAGTCTTAAACGGTGGCCATATATAGATTTACTGAATATCACTTAAAACTTTAGTAATTTTTATCCATACATATGTAAAACATTTTGTGTCAGTTATTTTTGAACCACAATGTATTTCACATCAATAGTCCTTGTAGCTACTGTCGGGGAAATAAATATGCGCACTCGAGTTTGAGCCTAAATATCTCTGAGATGAATTATCCGATTTTGTTGAAACAAAAATTAAATATAAGCTTGTTTAGATGCATTTTACATGGTAACAATTAAAAAAAATTTGTTTACGAGAAAAGTGTATATAGCTGAAAGATCTAAAAAGTACCGGTTTTTAAGAAACTCTGCACTAACACTGAAGTTTAAAATTTAATTGTAAACAAACCACTGAGCCAATCTTTCTGAAATTTTATGGCTTATTGGTAGGTTTATTGTTAACATTTCCATGCATTTTAAAATTTTTACTCACAATAGTTTATATGCTGCTGTTAATTTTGAAAACGTATGCTAACATCTTTAATAAGACGCTAAAAATTTTGTTCAAAATACCATCGTGTTTGTCAGGACACAAAAATAACACCAATATGACAGATTTATAATGCGAACAAAAGTGTTGTTTAAACAGATTTATATTTGATAACAAAAATTTCTCCCACGACTGGCAGCGGGCCACCTGGTGTTTGTACGATATCTCCCAGCCAGGCGGGAGCGCGTGCAAATCTGCGACGTTGCCGATGTGTACCTGGCCAGCACACTGACATTGCTTCGAGGAGGCGGAGAGGCATTTTCGAATAGATTTTACCAGTGTAAAAATCTAAGACAAACTGGTTATAAGCTTGGTTAGTCATCTCTCATAGCAACCCTAGTTCAAGAAAGAGGGGAGCTAAATGTATACATTCCATTACTCATCGGATATTCCAGCTTAACGCAACACTTCCCGCAAAGGGTTATGACCGCTCCGATTTCTACTCTCAGTGGTTTATTTCTAAGTGGCAAATTAAAGACACCATTAAATAAATACTGGTGGAAAATATTTACTTGGCATTTAGCTGTTATAATTTTTTAACAAGCTCAATCAACACAAAAGAAATTGGATTGGTGCTCGTAACACAAAGTAGATTTTTACTACCACCATAGTTAACTTATAATAATGTATTTGTTTCATGACTAGTTAATTAGAATATTTTGTTAGTAAATTTATGCAAATTTCAAACTAAATAATGATTTTCACAGTAGTTTTCCGTGAATGAATACCTAAGCAATGTCAGTGTGGTGGCCAGGTACACATCGGCAATGTCACAGATTCGCAAGCGCTCCGCCCAGCTGGGGAACACCAGGCAGTCCGCTGCCAGTCGCGGGAGAAATTTTTGTTTACAAATATTAATCTGTTTCGCATTATAAATTTGTCATATTGGTGTTATTTCTTGTGTCATGACAAACACGATGGTATTTTGAACGTTGTCATGTTAGCATACGTTCTCTAAATTAACAGCAGCATAAAAACTATTGAGAGTAAAAATTTAAAATGCATGGAAATGTTAATAATATACCTACCAATAAGCCATAAAAATTTCAGAAAGATTGGCTCAGCGGTTTGTTTACAATTAAATTTTAGCGAATTTCCCTATAGGGAAGTAGCTATTACCGTAGGTGGCACGGTAAGACCTAGACCCGGGACCGATTTACTTTTTCATTTTGATGTCCCCAGAGGCCAAAAACACCATTCGTTCAAATTTTTATATATGTATATATATATAGACTTATATATATATATATACGTCCGTGAACGCGATAACTTGAGTAATTTTAGTCCGATTTTGATGAAATTTGGTTTAAAGGTGTAAAGCGGGATAAACTTGAATGAGTTCGCGAACCAGCACGATCGGACCATGGGAACGGGGCTTTACGGGGGGTTTTATGGGGTAAAAATTGGTTTTTCTCACTTTTGACCCTCAAAACACAAAATTTTCCGATTTCTCTTTAGACCTTTTTAAAGAACTTTCAAACTTGGAAAATTTATTTATTTTGTACTAAGCTATCAATATTTTACTCAAAAACACACTTTATTAGTTTCCTTGTAGCAGCAAACCTAGGTACTTGTTAAACCTAATGATATTAAAATATATTTAACTGAAAATTAATTCAGACAAATGGAAATTCGCTTAGACGGCAGGTTTGCTGCGGTGGGGGTATTAAACTTCAGTGTTAGTGCAGAGTTTCTTAAAAACCGGTACTTTTTAGGATCTTTCAACTGTATACATTTTTCTGGCAAACAGAATTTTTTTTAATTGTTACCACGTAAAATGTATTTAAACAAGCTTATATTTAATTTTTGTTTCAACAAAATCAGATAATTCATCTCAGAGATATTTAGGCTCAAACTCGAATGCACATATTTAGGTAACTGGCCCACATAAAAACATGTGAACCCAAAGTCAGCTGCTCTCTCCATAAAAACGTTTCACACACACAATTTAGTTGATTTTGGTGATGCTTAATAAGCGACTTTGAAACTTATTGAATTCCAAGCAAGTGTGAAGAAACTTCCATGATAGCTGATGAGTTAGTGTGCAGAAAGCGAAGACCAGTGGTATTGGCCACACAAGCTGTAGTGCCAGTTTATGTTCAATCTTCAAACAATTACGCATTCAAAATAGTGTAACTTTTTTACTTTTAATCATACAATATGGAGAGTAAATCACAATTTGGAGTTTAATGTTAGTGATGTAACATTCTATGTTAAGGTTATGCCATTATTTTACTAATAGCAACTTCAAAACGAGTTGTCAGATGAACTAAGAAGTACAAAAGGTATTCAATAAAACACTAGTGTGCACTATAGACTAGTTTATTAAATACAAAATAGATTTCAACTATTGTACACAGTTGAAAAAAAAACTTCCAATGAGACAAAGGACTTGATATTTGCCGGTAACAATCAATAATGCCCAATTCGGACTACTCTATAAATCAATGTGCACAAACACATTTCCAATCTCTTTAGAAAAAATTGTTTTAATTTAACATAACTAAATCATCTTTCACACTTTTTGTATAATTAATAATTTTTTAGATCATTCACCAACATTTGAAAAGTTGTAAATCCTAACTATAACTCATTCCAACACCAGTCATACATAACCAGTTTCAAATCTTACAACCAATTAACTGGTATCTATTATTGGGCGTTCAGTTCAGAATATTTTTTATTCTTCAAAAATGGTGTTTAACACAAATAAAGTATTCGTTGAAAAAAACTTAAGACTTAAGAAATTAAATCAATAAAATAAGGTTGTTGAATCTCTTCACATTGTAAGTTCCTGAAAAAAGAAAAAGAAATTATTACTAATCCTTAAACCTTTAAACACTACAAATGAAGCAAGCTACTTATATGTATAAATTATAAGTTCTGGTTATACTTTTTAAAATACCTAAGCATTTAAGTTTTAAAAGTAGTTAAGCTGGCAAAGCAACTGAATAAACAAAATGTATTGCACACTTGCATTTCAGAAACCATGAGTTGGTCATAATTCATGAGTGTGTTATAAATGTACTTGACTAAATAATTGAAAAAAACCTAATCTCTTTTTGGATTTCTTATTAAGGATGAAAAAATAAAATAAAATGGTTGGACTATTTTATTTCAGTGGCACTGAAGAAAACCTCTTAACTTAGGGGACTTTTTAGTAATTTCCATGACTTCAGAGGTTTTTGGTTAATAGATAAATATTCAATTCATTTCTTGTCTTGCTTGTGAAGTTTAGTTGTGCAGTGTGCTATGAATGGATGCTATATTTATTAATATAATCTTAAAACCTTCTGCTATATACATAAAAGCTATTTCTTTAAAAAATCCAAATTTTTTTAAGGTTTTAACGTTATGGTAGTAAAGGTAAGCTTCAATTGCTTGCACTGGGCCCCGCACTACTCAAAAACTGCTTTGAACAGACTTTGACTTTTTTTATGGTTTCGTATGCAATAGAGTAGTATGACAAAAACATTTTAAGTCATTTGTCCATGTATTTTCTGGACTAGTAAAGTAATAATACCATTTCTCCTGGTTACAATGCAAATAACACTCACCATAATAGCATTAACGATGTCGTTCTGATTGTTGCGTAACGCCCTGACGGCCTTGGCACGGCTGACATTTGCTTGTGACATTACCAGGTCGACGTCCTTCTCCTCCACCCCCGTCTCATCCACGTCTTCTTCCTCACTCTCCTCTTGTATGGGTGCCACCACCTGAACACAATACACATCGTAGAATAGATGGTTTGGACTGTTCACTTACAGAAAGCTTAAAAAATGCTAATGCCATTAAAAAAAATACTCCTAAAATAGAGCTATCCAATCTTCAGCAAAGCGTCCCAAGCTTGCGGTCTTGGCGACACTGGTAATCGTCTCGCACGATCACGGCAAAATGTGAGCATATTTGGCGGTCTCAGCAAAACCGATAATTGTTTCCCGTGATTGGTCTTTCGTTAAACCGATGTTTCTGATGACCGGACTTTGAATACCCGGAAGTCTGGGTAAATTCCTGGAGTTTTCCAAGATAATTCAAGATAATATAAATGTGAGGATATGCTGTATGAGTGTGGGTAATATAGAAAGACAACTTGAGTGTTAAACTCATAGCCATGAAAGAAATTACCAACATAACTTAAAATTAACAATTTCAAGCGTTATACGTCTGTCATCTTCTGATGAAGACAGCCGCTGTGTGGGCTAAAGCACTTTAAACAACTAACTTTCAAAACTTGATGTGATGAAGAAGTAAAAGGAAAGACCTCTGGTGATCCAAGATGGTCATTGGCGGAACTAACACACAGTTGAAAACTGATTTTATAGCACAATGCTGTTGCAGCGCTCGTAGTAACAGGAAACTTGACGCAAACTGACTTTCACCTAAACTCGGTAGGTCTTTTTTATTTATGCTTTGTTAGATTAATTGTGTAGCAAACAGCCGATAAACGACTAAATGAGAAATTGGTATTGCATGATACAACTTCATCTTCGACAATATTTTTCACTGGTAGGCTGACGAAAGTAAAATTTGAAAACGAGGATAATAAATACAACATTATTGTAAAAATTTAGTGTTAAGCGTTACTGTAATTGTTGATAGTTAGCTCATCTGCACTCTTATTATATTATGTTTGACGAGTCGATAGTGTATTAAATCAATAACATTGTTCTTTATTCACATAAAAAACAGGTGAGTTAAAGATAAGATTTTGTTTTCTATCTAAAAGACAAAATATACAGTTTAGGCTATAATTGAGACTTGACGGAAAGTGTCAGATATGAAATTTGGGTTTGGGTCTGATCCTGATATCTGAACATAACAAATTTGACCCAAGTTTTTGAAAATCTACAGGCCTACAGCTAAACCTACTACTTGAAACATTTTTTTTTTTTACTTTTTTAGCTCAAAGTGAGCATACAATATTTTGAAGGTTGAAAATATAATATAACTGTGTTCCTCCTATCGAAAGGTGAGGTTCCTTGGTGGGGCAAGCATATAGGTTCCTGGAATAACCTATGCTAAATTTTGAAGATCCTACAAGATTATAGGACTTCAGTAGGCTTAAAAGTTTAAAAATAATCTTAAAAATGAAAATTTATCCATATGCTGGTATAGCAAACACATAATTTACAAAGTTAGAACTAACAATTTTTCTTACAACACTTTCTAAAATAGGCATAGCTGTTGAACTTACATGAATAACAAAACAAAGTTAGTACGGGTGAATATAAAAATTAATTAAAACTCACGGTCGTGCTGCCTGTTGCATCGGCTGCCGCTGCTACCTCAGGTGTCTTAAACTTCTCAGCGGCCTGAACTTGGGCCTGCTGGCTAAGGTCTTCAATCTGTAGATAAAAAAATTGCAATTATTAGTATAGATAGAATAGGTAAGGTAAAACACAAAGCTGATATCCCAGGTTTCATATGACTGTATAAAACATAGCCTTGAAAGTTTGTTAAAACCAGCTAGTATAAAAATTCACAGAACATTAGTTTACATGACTAAAGATTAAAGAACTTTGTTTTGCCAGCCCACGATGATTATAGGAAAGCTCATTAAATCCATAATTATTATTGCATAATATATCCTCTTATGTTTCAGTAATTCCAGGGTCTGGGTTGACATGGCCCTATAAACATTTTGTTCCCCTTCACAGTTCATCTTTCTCCGTCATCTCACCCCCGTCTTGTCTCTCCATTCATATATCCACCTTCTAGGGTTTCCTCTAGATCTTCTTCTCTCTAACACCATTAATTCCGTATTCCTGGGAATTCTCTAGGAGTGTGCGGATATTCAAAAGTTTGAATAGTTGAATGAATACTTTTTAGTATTCGAGCCCGACTCGATCTTAATGAGTATTTTCGAACATTCGAATAGGAAACAAACCTAGAAATAATCTCTAATTTCAACCAAATAAATCATGGTATTGTGTTGTTTTATTTCATCCCAACATTTCATGCTTCGTATTATTAAGTCACAACGTCAGCATATTATGACATCTTCCTCTAAAGTATATACGACCATTTTCAAGGACGATAATTTTGTTGTCATTAAAATCACTCCGTTCAGCTGCCTAGCTTACAATCCTCCAATACGATAGGCTTAAGGCCCAATTCACACCGAACGGACGTCGGGCGGAGACGTGGCACGGACGAGGCACAGACGTGGCAGTGACGTGGCGTGTTCAATGCACACCGAAGGGACGGTGAAGAGACGGTACAGTGGCGAGACAACCTGTATGTAGACTAGACGCTTTGGTTTTTGCTAATTTCTATTAATGTTAATGGTGTTAGTTAATTTCTTTCAACTTAATTAGTACAAACAAGGGAATTGTTCTACTTCCTCACAAAATTTGATATTAAATTCAATGTCATCTCACATATTGAAGAAACAACTCACAATCTACACACAAAAACAACTCTACACAACAAGGTTGGTAAGTACAAGCACACTATACACAAGAAGTTTGGTAAGTATAGTACAATATTTGCAGTCCGAACAACGGGCGCGCTACGGACATGCCACTTCCGATACGCCACGAGGGACGCCGAAGCGACGTGGCGGTGGCGAGAGGGCGGCCGCCCGCGCCACGTCACTTGTGTGTGCATTGACCAATTTGTTTACATGGGGAGGCGAGGAACGGACATATGTCCTCGCCACGTCCGTGCCACGTCTCCGCCCGACGTCCGTTCGGTGTGAATTGGGCCTAATGCAACCAACTGGCATGGAAACACAATACCGTACTGTCAACCATTCTTATTTCATTAATTAACAATATCCTATATTTAGCAGCAATTAAGATTGTATTAGTTTATCAGACAGATATCTATTTGTATAACTTTTAAATAAATTCTCTTAGCTTAGTTCATGTTAGGATCTACTTTTTGTAACGTGAACTTAAAGTACAGTAGAATGATGAAATAAGTCTGAAAGTGTTGTCTGAGTAGCAACTAATAAGCTATGAGGTTAGAACTGCACTTCACAGTCTTTAGCATAGATTCAAAGTTTCTTCACGGAAAAAGAGAATCTGGAGTCAAACCGGGCAAAAGATTCCCTTGTATCATTGTCCTGTTATTACAATCCCCGGCCAAGCCAGCCCTCTAGTCTAAATATAGCTTCAAGGTTGCACCCTACCCTCCCCCCACTCCTTTGCCATTCACAGTGGCCCGCTCCTTCCGATGTCATTGTCCAACACATCCCACCCTTCCATTGTTTTGCCTTTCTAGTGTTTCTATTCTGACTTTTTCTTTAAACATTAAATTAAATAAAACATGGAAGTCATAAAGGAATACAAGTGATAAAACTTTATATAACTAAACTACTGACTCAACAAGTTCTTGGAAGTAGATGACTTGCCTACAACAATTATTGTTGTCATAAAATATTAATGGTTTTGGTACTGCTAATGGTTTTTATTGCCCTATTATTCTAGTAATAAATTATGAAAATCCTAAACAATCATCTGATAAACCTTTTTATGTGCTCCTAACCAACGACAGTGAATTGAATTGAAATTAATTTGTTATATTCTGTACCAGAACAGACTACTGTACGTAATTAGGCTAGTACTCGGTGAACCGCAGACCCCTAACTGAATGCATTTATATGTTTTTAAAAGTTTAAATTAAACAACCCGTTATTGTGTTGGTTGGAAAAAAGTAACCAGTTGTGTTGCATTATCTTGTCAAAATGATGCTGCAAACATGTTTATTCCTAAAATTCTTCACCTAATTTTTGGCTATGACCTATCTTAGTAGTAAAAAAGTTAAGCCTTTATCTTTAATGTTTTTTTTCTTGATATAATCATGTTAGGAGTCAAAGGTGTTGATAATGTTTGATACTGTAATTAATTGTTGTTGGAAAACCATGAATATGTAGGAAATTATTCATTTTTACAGTAATATCAATTAAATAAAAGTATTTGATTCGAACCCAAAAATTACTATTCACACTCCCCTAGAATTCTCCCTTTTGGCATTCTTCTCACAAAAATTCTTATGATCTCTTCATTGCCTACTCAACTCTATCCCACCATGTTTTCACTCTTAATACCACCTTAAAATTTTCCTTGCATCTACACTTACATGATATAAATAGCTTTTAGGACTATGACACATTGCTTATAATTACTTGATGGTTTCACACTTCCCAGCTTAAACGACTAAACGTAGTGAGATTACATGCAAATTCTGTAAGCTGCCTACCAGTTAATTTTTAAAATGAACGAGAAATTTCTATGAAAATACCATACATCTATGTTTTGTTGTTCTTACCAACTGTTTTGGAACACTTAACGAAAGAAGTCTATGTTTTTGCCAGAATAAACTGATGGCCTAATGATCTTTTAGCTAGGCCTATCGCCGGTTTGTCGACATATTTACTAAAATTTCATGAGTTGTAGAGCAAGTTGTTATGAACTTCTTCTTATGTATTTTACATTGAAGAACAAAATTTGTACATTAAGAGTCATATGTTTCTTAGTAAAAACGTGCATAAAGATAGATAGACTTAGGCAGCTAACAGAATTCAACAGAAATTAAGGTAACTTATTTGTTTTACAAAAATTACAATCTATAAATCTTTTTACCTTAGCTTCACCGAAGACAATGTAGGTGTCTGAAGCAGGGTTCTTAAATACATCAGGTTTGTTTATTACAAACAATATATTTTTAGACTTCCTGATGGTTACTCTTGAAACACCTTGAATCTGAAAAAAATATTAAATCAGATTGTTTGTAGCATTGGAACAGTTACACAAACATGTCACTAATTGTTTGGAGTCAAAAGTGTCCGAGGCTCATTTATGGTTCTAATTTATAATTCCTACATGATGGTCTATTTTTCTCAAAATGTCTAAGCTTAACACCAATTTATAATAAATTATCAGTAATAACTAAAGATCCTCTTCAGAGATTCAATAATAAGTTGCCGTAGGCTTACATATGAAGTCTTTAAGGAACATTGTGTAACGGACGACGGTAAAAGTAAGTTGACTCAGTTAAAGTTAGGTTAAATATTAGGGGTGTGCAAGCACTCTCCGAGTATTTTTAAGAAAAACATCTCAGAAAAGTGTCGAGCTTTAAAATTAATTTTCAGGAAGCATTTTAATTTAAATACATGTAGGCCTACAGTATGGTAAAATCAAAGCAGGATCTTCAATAGGCCTATAGCTAGTTATTTCGTAACTATTACTGTCAACATAAAGTTGTTAACAGATAAAAGTCTAAATTGTTTGGTTAGGATAACGCAAGAGCAAGACTTAAGTGAAATTACGAGCAAGGATTCCTAAATAAATTACAAAAGCATATTTTTAAGGTTAGGACATGGAAAGACAGTTTCTGTTTGTGCAAGTTATATTTCGTGCCATTGTCTTTGGTAAACAAAGTGACAACGTAATGTGAACAAACATCTGTCAACATAGACTGCTTTACTTTCCAAAATTCACAAACAACATGCAGCCTTTGTGTTTAATTGAACGCAGCAGAGTTCCTTTTGTAGCAACTGCTATAGGCCTAAGATAAGTTTAGTAGGCTAATGAAATTACCTACTGTAACTTGGTAGGCCTACCGACAAAAATTGTGTTTCTTTGTTCATCCGAACATAAGCGAGAAATTTTATAATTGAGTGAAGACAGCCTGATATTATTATTATTTTAAGTCACCTAGATGAGTATTTTTACCAACCTCGATTCGACTCATAAATTTCAACTCACACACCCTTAAATACCAAATTTAAATAAAACTTGACATCTTTCATTCCATACATTAGTATAGGCACGCACATAGTAGCCTATATTGCACTATACTCGAAAAGAAGTATTAAATATTAAGTAAAAGACTCTCAGGTTGAAAATCCCAGCCAAATACCATCTTCCAGTGAGAAAATTCAAGAACATTTAACAAGAATAAACAGCCTAAGTTTTAGACTTACACAAATTTGAGTTTATTCATACTTTCTTCTTTGACATTCCCTACACAATTGATTTAGCCTACAGTGTTACGGTACCCAAGAACGCCTAATTTATTTTCCCTGATAAATTCCAGGGCCTAAACAAATATCGTCTCATGCATGAACAAAAAAATATTATGGTACGCCTAGGCCTATGTCTTTTTTACCACAGCAAAAAACACTGTATTGAAAAATAATCCATTTTTAATGACAACACGAAGAATTGTCCATTAAAAACAAGACAGCTAGAAGAAATACTGGTAAATAAATATTATCAATGTTGATAAAAAAAAACTTACAGGTTTTAGTCCCAGCTTAGACATGATCTTGCGAGCCTTCTTTTCGCCACGAGATTGCTTTGCCTTACTGACCATATCCATAGAGAGCCCTCCAGGGCCAGGGAAGGCTCCAGCCCCACCAGCTGCTCCCCCAGCGTCCTCCAGCTCGGGAATTGTGTCATCAGAATCTGATTCTGTCCCAGACCCTTGAGCTTCATCCGTAATTTGGGTCTGGGCGAGGTTTTTCTGCAGCTCCTTGAGTTCGGGCATTTTGTCAGTCACTAAAATGGACAGATAAAAAAATTTAAATTCCAGACTTAGTTAGGGCAATATTTTAGGCTAGATCTTATTTAAAGTGTTGAGCCAAGAAACTTTGTGAAAGGATGGCATGTTTGTCAGTGTATGATCCAAGCTTAACTTGTACATTATTAAGTTTAACTTAGCCTATTTATTTATTTTCCAATGAAACACCATTTTACAAAAATGGATACAATGTTAACAAGATGGCTAAATATTTATACAACAGTACAACAGACCCATTCATTAGCTTAACTTATAAACAATCAGCTAACTTACCCATAAGTTACAAATAATACTAAGATAACTCTAGCTGAATTAACTTAATAGGCTGCAATATCAAAATTATAGGCCTAGACTAGCTTGAGATAGCTAGATTTAAATAGGTATAAATGAATAGGGTGAGATGGGATAAGTGCACCCCCTAAAATCAAAAGTTCAACTTTGACCAAGTTTCAGCGCCCATTTAATGTTAGAAACTTCATTTTTTACTATGCACTTTCAAAAACGTTTTTTATTAGGCTCAACATTTTCATGTGAATCAAAAAAAGTTCTGATTAAAAAAGTTTTAAAGTTTTCCTAACTTAGACTACACTGAGTATGCACTTGCCCCATCTTCGGTGGACATGAATACAGTGGGGCATTCGAGCATCATATAGGTAAGTTAGAACTTTTTGAGAGCTTTCTAACACTTTTTATTTTACTGAATTATATCTCTAGGCCTAATAGTTTTTTGGATACAAACTTTATTGAATATTGTGTGGTATGAAATCTCGTATCTGTAGAAAGGTTTAAAAATATTATTTTGATTTTACTTAGGCCTACCAAAGGTTAAATCCTTCCTCCTGATACTATTTGTTTGTTAAATACCCCCGCCATAGCAAACCTGCCGACTAAGTGAATTTCCATTAGTCTGAATTTATTTTCAATTAAATCTATTTAAATACCATTAACTTAGGTTAAACATGTACGTAGGGTTGCTGCTATAAGAAAACTAATTAAGTGTGGTTATTGGTAAAATATTAATTGGTACGGTAGCTTTAAAGTATCAATTTGCCAAGTTTGATCAAAATATATCCATAAACAAGCAAACTACAACATTTTACAATATTCTCCATAAAAATGACCTGGGAATTTTAAATTTACATTTTTTTGGATTTTCTCCGTTATTAGTTAATATCCGTACTAAAAAAACACTTTGGTATAGCCTACTATTTTTTTTAAAGCTCTGAATTTTAAATTCTGATATCTTACTGACTGGTCCTTTATAGCCTAGTTTTTTATACCTACCTCCTGAATCTAAATAAGTTATACCATAATTTTTCACAGCTTATGAATCAATTAATTACCTTTTTGGTTTTTCTTGCCTTGAAGTTCTTGTTGGTTTTTGATACCTGATGCGCATTTCGCCACAGGTTGTGGCATCTTCAGAGTTCACTATCCTACACTTACATTCTAATATATACACAGTTTATATACACAAGAGTCACTGTACCGGTTCACATGGTAGTGTTTACACTCGCGGCGCGGCGGGCGTGTGTTGCGAGCGCGGGGTGTTTACTTGTGCCGGGATCGTTGTTAGACTGACAGAAAGAGTGTCTGGTGGATGGACGGGTTGGGGTGTGGAATTCCCAGAATTGTTGTATCTGCGACGTTGTCTAGTTTCTGCGGGGTTGCCAAATCGGTTGGTTTCTATTTCGTACATGGTCTTAAAGATGATGGAGTTATTGAAGTCCTCTTTTATGTTAAGTAGGCTGTCAGGTCCAGATTCGGTAACTTGTTTATAGATTTGGTAGCTTTCCTGTATTTTGGCTGTGGTTTTTGACTGGGTTCTGTTCAGGATAGTAAGGGAATCGGGGAATGTTATTGAATGAGTATGGTTTTGTTTGAGGTGTTTTGCTACTATTGAGGTTGGATTTTTGTAGTGACTAGTGTTGTGTTCTTTGAAGCGTTGGGAAAATGATCTATTCGTGTAGCCAATATACTGTTTGTTACATGGTGGATTGCAGGTTATTTTGTATACTCCTCTGTCTTTTTCTATTGGTCGGGCCTTTGTGCTTGCTTCTATGCGTATAGTGGTATAGGACAGTTTTTGACTTGGTATGCAGGTGTGTAGCCGGTACAGTGACTCTTGTGTATATAAACTGTGTATATATCAGAATGTAAGTGTAGGATAGTGAACTCTGAAGATGCCACAACCTGTGGCGAAATGCGCATCAGGTATCAAAAACCAACAAGAACTTCAAGGCAAGAAAAACCAAAAAGGTAATTAATTGATTAAAACTGTTCTTGTAACTGGGTTATATCATAAAAAAAAGCTTATGAATATTAAGTTATGGCCTATACTGAAGATTTGCTGTTAAAATGAACAATGTTTGAATAAACGAGGTAGCCAATAACTTAACTTACGCTGGGACAAACGACATCTACAAATGGAATCGCAATAACTTATTATAGGCCTACTGTATAAAAGAAGTTAATCCTCATATGAAATTTGCTAAAATGGGATCAACTTAACTAATGTAGTAAAGTGGTGCTGTTCTAACATAATTACTGAACCAAACTTCTGGAACATCAGCCAACTCCTTTTATGTCAGAAAAGGCATGTCGTGGTGGTCGGTCAGGCTTTAAGTTATGTGAATTCGTGACTGTGGGTCCTTTGAAGGTAGGTTGGATTAGGTACCGATAAGGTAAAGTCTAGATCAAGTTATAATGTATTAAGATGTTGGTTTACATTTACCAAGAATTTTTTCATACAATTAAAACCCTTAGCCTAGCCTAGATAAAAAACACTCCAAAACACTAGCCTATTTAAAAAATACAAGCATTCAAACCTAACTTCAAAACCCTTAATACAGCCCCGAATTAGCAGAAAGCTCGCCCCACCAGCCTGACATGTCTAAATAAAAGCTAAGATACGTGTACTGTACCGATAAGGTAAAGTCTAGATTAAGTTATAATGTATTAAGATGTTGGTTTACATTACCAAGACTTTTTTTCGTACAATTAAAACCCTTAAGTTTTAGCCTAGATAAAAACACTCCAAAACACTACACTATTTAAAAAATACAAGCATTCAAACCTAACTTCAAAACTCTTAATACAGCCCCGAATTTGCAGAAAGTTCGCCCCACCAGCCTGAGATGTCTAAATAAAAGCTAAAATGCGTGATAGGCCTAGGTTCGGAGGTCAATATAACTACCAACTTAACTTTAGCTTAACTTACCTAAACATTTGTTAAGAGGCACTAAGAAGTTACTCAATAGTTACCATATAGCGTTATAATACCGTTATACACAAAGTATGATAAAAAAGGAAGCTTTTGATGCAAATCCCGCTAACTTAACCCTCCGAGTGTCATGCGTCGCTGCAGCGACTCACGAACACTGTTTACGGCGAAGGCTCTATGACTGACAAAATCGGATTGAACTGGATCGAGTTTGGTATCAATCGTTCTTTTCATTATATTCTAAGCTTTCTCCAGAGGTCTGTCTCTAAGCGCTTTATGTTCTCCGAGCCGATCGTAATTGTAGCAGACAGCTGACGTGCGTATTTGTAAACAGGTTAGTTAACCTCGGACCGATGACTGATGTGTTTTATTATGTTTATCATTGTTTTAGTGTTAAAAATCAAAAGTAGTGATATACGTGGTGCATTATAAGAAGATTTAAGTGATTTTGAAGGGCTGGTTGATGATCCTGAAGAAGTAGGTTAGTGATATTGATGTAAATTATCAGCCAGATTCCTAGCTATGGTTAGGCTACCTATGCATTCTTAGCTAAACGCTAACTTATGTACTGAAATCTGTTTTGTGCCCATAACTTATTTATTTGCAAATCTACTTCCTTAAAATATTATTATATATTTGTAATCCTCATAAAATTTAGAACAAAGTGGCTATTTTCAAATATTTATAGGCCTATAATTTATACAATTTCATTGTGCGCGAACTTATTTTTTTTTTTTTCAATTTTTCCAAAAAATTTTAATTTTTACCTAAAAAATTTTTTTTCAAACAAATATTCCTTAGGTGTTATGTATGATATTGAAGCCCATGATTTTCCAAACAAAATGGTATATAGAACAGTAGAATTAACATTGTTTTAAGCTTTTCAGATCCGTTTTAATAAAACCTTGCAAATGCGCCACAAATAGGCGGACATTAAGGCCTAAACTATGGACACTCGGAGGGTTAAGTTTTACTAAGTTAGGGCCTATAGAGCAAATAGACCTTCCTGAAAGTGATCCTTAAGTGATGAAGAGCCAGGTTAAGTGCATTTACTCCACCTCACCCTGGGGTATAGCATATTTAAGTTATGTGTTGACATCCTGATGAGTGATGACAAGTTAAGGTCCGTCCCTGGCAGAAGTTAGGCTACAAGGTTCAATTGTTTTCTTGATCGAACAGTCTAACTAAACCTAGCCTATCCTTTCTATTAGACTGGGGTGCATGATGTTGCATGTAAATAAGCCAAACTATATTAATAATATTACTATACTACAATAGCATTAAGTAGTCTAGGCCTACTTGGTTTACAAAAGCGAAAATGCCTGACAATGCTTACTTCAGAAAAATTGGGCCACCTGCTGAAGGTCACTATTACAATAAATGATTTCCAAGAAATATTCTTATCTTAAAACTTTACAAAACCAATGCCAAAACTACCTAGCACACTTTTGGATATCAAGCATGTATCTTTAAATTTAATCAAAATAACTCACCGGTAAAAAATTAAGGAACACGTGTTTATAAATATAGAAACAAGCCTTCGGCCGACAGTGGACAAGAAAGGGAAGGAAGTATCGATGGCGGGAGGGGGAGGTGTATTTCATCACAACAAACAGCTGTTCGTATCTTTTTAGCTTTGTAATAGCAGACCGATAGAAAAATTGATTCTCACAGTTTGTCAAGTCATCATTGTGAACGGGTGTTAAACAATTAAAATTGATAGACGTAAATACTAATAATTATTACAATTTTAAATGCTTATAAATAAATATACTATTATACAATTGAATAAACAGACAATTAACTGTAGATATTTTAACAGAAAAAATGATTATAAATAACAAATAAATATTTGACGAATTAAACACTATGAGGATTAGTAAAACAAAACAAGAAAACTAGAAACACTACACTAGCTATAAGTTTACATATACATTAATATTAATTAATTTTGCTGTACATTTCCCTATATTCGCATGCTATATACGCTGTAACACAGCGTCTCAATTGTACCACGGCCCCCTGCAGCGGCCTTCGAAGTAGCAACTTCACGGGAGGCCTTCTTTTAGGCAACCTTTCATCTAGGTACCATTTCACTTAAATCACATATCAAGTTGGTACCGACAACTCAAATCGGTCAGCTAGGTCCCGGCCCCTCCCTTCTGGGGGAAGGGCGTGGCTTCGCCGTGGTCACGTGTTTCGCGGTGCGGTCGCTTACCCTCTACACTTCTGAAAATTCCCACGACTTCTTTGAATTACCTCTACTCCACCCAAATTTCAGCCTTCCTTCGTCTCGTTTCGTGTTCTGTTCTGCGTTTCTTCTTCTTCTTCTCTTCTTAGATCTGCTGCTGCTGGAGCTGGAGTGCTGCTCTAGCTCTGTCTGTCTGTCTACTCCTACTGTCTAGTAAGTTTGAGGTTGGATTTTGGAGAATTTATTGTTTGTCAATTTCAATTGTCAAATTGTCATACAAATTTGTATTTTAGGTGTGTATTTTCAATTTAGGCCTAAGTTACAAGAACTACTACAGTTTAAAGAACCATTTTTGTCATCACAAAATTGAAAGGTGTAACTTATTGACATGGACATGGTCATTAGAATATTAACGTTTCAAGCAAATTCAAATTAGTTTCTGGTAGCCTTTAAAATAAATTGGGGGTACAGTTTCCTGGACTTCGCTAATATCGATTGACACTATCAAATTGAAAATATTAATTAATAATCATCATTTAAAATATATCAATTTTAAAATTAAACTGCACTTACGTCCTACACTATAATTCGAATAAATATATCGATCAATAAATCGATTATTTCATTCAATATATCAAGTTTGGTTAGTAAAGTTAACCTAACCTAACTTAGCTAACCGAATGAATCGATACATCAAATAGGCCTAGTCTATCCATTAGTTGCATACTGCGCTTTTAGGCCTAATAAAAAATTAGAAAATTATGACTATTACCTAGTTTTAATATAACTTCCGGTACTAGACTATTGATCGATTTCGAGCAACAAGTGCACCAGTATTTTTATATTTTTATTTTTATAAGATGCTGACAAAGTATAAAGTTTTTCGTATGACAGTTTTAGTTTACCAATTGAGTTTTTAGCATTTTATAGCATAGCCTATGTACGTATTTGATACTCTCAGCAGCTGGAGTAGTGTGATTTTTTCTTTGATTATTGTGGCTTTATGTGACAGGTGGAGGTGGATGGCTATAACTTACAAGGTTACATGGTAGGCTACACATTAAATTCATAATGATTTGCCTATTTCGGTAGACTGGCTTTTTCGTAGGACTACGCTTCATTGCTCTTTACAATTTCAAGAGATCTATTGTTCAAGGCGTTAATGGGCAACTAACCTAAGTTTATCGCCATTCTACCGCATTATAACCCACCCTACAGGGCCCGGATTTTGTAGGTAGCAAATGCGCAACTAACCTACCGCCAGGGCAACGGCCATCAAAACATTTTTATGTGTGATAATAAACCTTGTAGGTTAGTCTAAACTTAGTTGATACTACTAACAAAATAACTTAGCCATCTTAAAGACATCAAGTAATTAAGTAGGCCCATTTTATTGGTCGTTGAATAATCTGACTACTAAATAACTGATTATAAATATCTGATTACTGAGTTGTGCTCTTTGTAGACTTCGTCTGAGACACATTAACTCACGGTAGCCTATATAGGCTACTTGATCAATAGCGATATAGGCCTATTATCACAGTCACATTTTTTATGCGTAGCCTATCAAATATATAGGCTCTATCACAGACGTTAAAATAAATAATAAGTATAGTTGTGCAGTTAAATAGATCAGGGGTAATAGTACTTGTTGTAATATGTAGTTCTACTTCATCAAATCCATTTCAATGCATCAAGCAAAAGAGCTGTAACCCCATGAATAGCCTAGGCTAGTCTAATAATATTTTAAGACATTTTTATTTTATGATATTAAAAACATTAGGCTACACTAAGCTAATGAAATCTTCCCATAAACTTAGCCTACTCGGCTTTTAATTTTTGCTTCGATTTTGACTGCCCTACCCGTCAATGAGGTTAAGGGTATTAGGCCTAACCTATACAAAAACCTGCCTTAATCTGAATGGGAAAACATTATTATTTGCAGATGATACAACGATGCTGTCCAGAACCTTTAGGATTATTACAGTTGTGTGGCATTTGGATCATTGCCGGCCAATCTTAAAGGATCTTAAGCTACGTTTCCATTCCTGCAAATTTGTGCCGGCACAAATCTCCAAATTTGTAGGAATGGAAACATCCTGGCTCAAGTCGCGGCACAAATTTGTGCCCGCCAACTGCGCGACAAAACATGCGCCCGCAGGTCCTCCAAACTACCGCATGCTCATAAATGACAGGTAATCATAACCTCAAATTTCGTTGAGTCCGTTGGAGGAAATTTTCAAAGCCACTTTGTACGCGCAAATCTCTCATCAATTGATTAAATGCACCTTCCAATGCTCTTTTAGCCAAAAAACTTCTTATCCACTATCTAGGTAGTTTTCTTCTAAGTTCATTGTATGCACCAGCCATAATTAAAAAAACAGAGGCTGTTATGTCATCCATGGTGATTTGTAGAACACAATATAATCAAAATCAGCCACCGAACGTCACCACATCACAATAAAAGAGAACACTGCCTTGCCTGCCAGTTGTAGTCGCGGGACTTGTGCCTGGAATGGAAACAGCATGACAAACTACGTGCGACATGTGCCTCGTCATGGTCTCGACATGTGCCTCGACTTGTGCCTGCGACTTGTAGGAATGGAAATGTAGCTTAAGGGTACTCACGGCGTAGTGCTTGATATCCTGACCCTAGAAAAGATGACGTGCAGTCAGTGGTGGATCTAGAACAGTCACAAGGGGGGGGGGGGGACCAGGGTGTCTGAGAGGTTCGGGGGTACCCCCTCCCTCTCCAAAAATTTGTTTAAACTAAGTATCCGCCACTGGGGTGCAGGAGTACTATACCAGAAGAGCACAAAATATAGACTTTTCCTGCTTTCGTCTCAAACGTACCTAGGAAATAGCTATCCTCGTTCTACTATTAACTACAACTCATAACTGCCTACTCATTTGCAGGAGATGGATGCACCCTCCTTCAGAAGGCGCTGAAAGGAATACTAATTATAGGCCGCTGTACCCCGTAAAAGAACTTAAGGAAGAGCACCTAGTGAGATAAGTGTATGTCTGCCATATCATCCGTTAAACAGCCAGGTTTTTGAAGGTATAGTTTATTGTAAATATTATATATAGAGTTATTTATTAAATCACTTAATAATTTACTAGCTTCTGTGCCCGTGCTTCGCAACGAGAAGATGAACTATCCCGCCTAATCCAAACAGTTGTTAAGTAGTCCAAATTTATGAACAAAAGCCACCAAATGTTGGCCTACTGTATAAAAACAATTATGACCAACATTGTAATTGCCCTACTGTTTACGTTAAAATATATCAATAACATAATATTCATTTTCATATTTGAGTTGTTTTGTCTCGAGATCAATGAACCAACTATAAAAGGTATAAAATTACCTCAGTACTGCCAGATTGATCCTGTTTAGTCCTTATAGATTACGGGTTTTAAGGACTTAAGTCCTCATCATGAGATCTTGTACAAGAACATTTAACACTGTAACTTCGAAAGGGTCATCAAGAGTTTAAATGCGAAACACGGACATATACTATTTACAGTCATAGACGTTTTATGAACAAAACGAGTAGGCTTACTGACAAAAACTTACAATGTCCAACCCCAACCTTGTGCGCACAGTTGCAGATGAGGGTCATGACTGCGATGCGGAAGATGGTTGGGCAGTGGACTTTGTATAGCTCGGCTCCTTGTTCATCAGCTGTTCTTGTTTTTTTATTAGAGTATCATACAGAGCGTTAGACTGTAAACTGATTTTGTTGTTTAATAATGTGTTAGCTTGAATTTTGATTGTCTTATAAATTTCAAATTCTTCTAAAGCATCCATTCCTGTATATTGCTTTTACAATCAAAATAAACTATGCCATGGCTCGGTCCCCAGGTACTTATTTCAATTCAGGAAATTAAAGCCTTTACAACTATTATTCAACAAAAACTTCTTTGCACTAACTTGATCAGGGAAATATAGGCCTAGACAAAATATAAAAGGTTTAATTTACCTGTTGCTGATCCTGTTAACAGGGGCAGGCCAAGACCATAAAGCACTTCATCCAAAAATAAAATTATTGCGCACCCCATACAGTTGTTTTCTTGAAATTACAAGTTCAGGCGTCCGATAAAAGCCTGTAGCTTCCCAATTAGATCCTCCTCAGGAAGATATCTACCTCTTGCCACATTAACAAGAGTTATTCTTCTAGCAAGAAGAATAACTCTTGGTAATGTGGCAAGAGGTTAACATGTGTCTTTAACAAGCAATGAAAGCCCCTCAAAGATCGAGTTTGTGTCGCACGTTTGTAGGCGGAATAAACCAGT